ACATGTCTGTACTTACATTATACAGTACGCATGGAAAACAGCTTCTGGACGTGAGCCCAGATTCCATGCAAATGTTCAATAGTAAACATTCACAAATGTTCTCTCCCACTGCTGTGTCAGAGAGACTCACAGTCAGTGTGGCAGTCTCATCCTCCCTACCCCCTGGGCCCCACACTGTCCTCCTGGGACCCCCAGTGCTCATCCTGTCAGTGTTCTCACGTACATGCACTCTGCTGGATCTGCTGGTTTATCGTGCCCATGCAAAGTCGTTTGGTGGGAGCGTGGCTCAAATCCCACTCACATCTCACATACAACTCCAAACAGAGTTACTAAGAGTGGGTTATGTTCTACTCTCACTGGAAGCTGCCCTAATATAGTGTGTGATTTGGTGAAAATTTGAAGTTGTTCCCCATTTTATTATCATGATTAACTCCTTGCATCCTAGGCATATTATTTAGGAACTTCTATGAAATTAATTTGTAAGATATAAAGTTATGAGAGTGAAGAACTGAAATGTGGGTTCACATACAGATCCTTGGTGTTCAAGGGGTTAATTTATAGTTATGCTCTATTTTCTGAAGTCGACAATGTAATTTTAGACCAGATAATTCTACATTTAAAGCAAAAATAGTTTCAAGCACGAACCCATAAGCAAACACAAATACAGGCTTTGCTGATAGATGGTACAACAGAGATTGTAATATTCCAGCTGAAGTGACTCTATTAAACTTAAACATATTGCTATTCTTGAGGTTTCTGGTGAAATGTAAGCTCTATTATTTTGAAATAATTCGGTCCAAATGGACTCATTTCAGCCTTACTAGAAATGATAGACATATGAAAAGGAAACAGTTCTCTGAAACCCACTCAACTGAAGAATATCCTTACCGCAGTACTCCCAATGCATCATTTACCTCCCCCCACTTCCCAGCACTCTGTTGGAGTTATGTTAGAGCTAACACATGGGTTACACAGTTGGATAGAAGAATTCTGTAGAAAAAACTTGGAAACCATTCACTGCTGTGTGAATGGCTTCAATAGCAATTCTTTACTTTAGATCATTCATGGTATGCCATAAAACGAAAGATTCACAATGCATTGTAAAAAAAAAACCTTAAGAACCACTTTCTTAAACCATCTTCTTCAGTCACACTAAAGAGAGTAAGTTAGTTGCAAAGAAACAAGAACAAATGCGTTTTCTGCACAAAAAAAGAGGAAGAAGCAGATCAAATTACAGAAAATGAGAAGAGAGAAAAGTGGAAGTATAACAGTCCTCCAGTATGAGCAAATCCTACTTGAGCACAGGTTGGGAAAGGAGCAGTTAACGTAGCTTGGGACAGTGACAAATCAGAAGTGTCACATGTAGCTTACTCAAATGGTCTGAATGTGTGTGGCTCTGCCTGCCAGGCTTACATCTCTAATTGCCTCTTGCTGTCCCTGCCCTGAATGTGTACCCTATATCTGCCTGTCAAAATGGCAGCCAAGTGGGCGACAAACATGCCCATTCCAGTTTATTTACTACAGTCAGTCAAGGGAGGCATCCCTGATACTCAAATGCAGCCGAAAACACTATAAAAGTGAAACATGCCTGAAGAAGGCTATTAAGAATGACTGAATAACAATTATGTTCCTCTGGACCCAAAACACAGTCAGTAATAAAGGTACATAAACCGTTCCCAGGGAAGGGGTTAGGAGGTAATAGTCTGCGTCTAATAAGAGGATCATGCTGTCTTAAATAGTGTTTGAGAATTGGCTGTAGGAATCCACAAACCTGAGCAAGAAGCATTGCAGTGAACTCTGCCAAGCCTCACCCACCTGCAAGTCAAAACCACAGAGAATCACCTCAGACCCCTAGGGCTAAGGTGGATTCCGCACAAAAACAATGCAGGCTAAGATGATGGTAAGAGTGGTGTTGATGATTGAGACCTCATAAAGACCTCATACACACCAGAACAAACCCTCACGCACTTCTCGAGGAAGCCTCAGACACTCAACTGAAGTGCAGTCTTGCATGTGGATTTGTTTGATTTGGCAGATCCATAGTAGACGCTGGTGGCATGCCCGCTTTCCCTTCAATGACCCTTGCAGCGAGCGGCCACCCTCTGTGGCTGGTGTGGGGTTTCACTCTCGTACTGTCTGGAGGCATCTCGGATTTCAACATGACTCAAGGGCGTGTCTAAACAGGAGTCAAGGGCATAGCAGAGGACTTTTTTTTTGCACATTAGGACAAAACGAAAAACAGCAAACCAAATCTAGTGATAGCAACCAAAGTCTAGAAGTAATAGAAGTGTTAGAAGCATATAGTCTTAGCATAAAAGGTTCTATATAATACAGAAAAAAGTCTTTTAATTATAGAACCATGTTTGGTGCTGTATAGAACTATTTTTGAAAAACATTCTTTAAAGAATTATGTGCAGCTGTTTGCAAAAGTCAAATTACATTCTTTGTACATATCCTCTAGAGAGAACACACTTCTGCATATTTTAATGCACAGTTACTGTTTAGTTGCTGAATTTAATATATTGGAAAATAACATAAAATGTGGCCTGTGGTAAAGTTATGGCACATTTTATGTTTATTTTTTTTTACATTCAGCAATTAAACAGAAATTGTGTGCAGAAGTGTGTTCTCTGTAGAGGATGTGTTAACTTATTTTCACAATCTACAAAACAAGTGTTGTTGTTTATATAGTTGTAAGCTTTTGTATGCAACTGTACATATAAGTAACAATTTAAGCATGCAAATAACCATTTTTGCATTTTTTCTTTGAATGTTCATGGTGAGATATAACCATTTATTTACTAAAAAACCTTTGAAGAACCATTTTTTAGATAGTGTAGTACAGAAGGTACATTCCCTGAAGCGATAATCCTTTTCTCTTAAAGTGAAGATCTGATCTTACTGCAACTTGACACATTGACACATTGACATCCTGTACATGTTCTATATATATATATCCTGCATCTCATGCACCTAGTGCACATTTGGAAATGTGTATGTTATAACTGTAAATGTTATAACTTATATGACTGTACAAAAACTGTAATACTGGAATACTGCAACACTGGTGTATACTAATGTGTATGTTGTGTATATGTGTATATATTTAGAGTCTAGTGTGTATATATATATATATATATATATATATATATATATATATATATATATAGTTTCTTTTCTTTTTTTGTATTTAAGTACTACTAGGATTTTCACTCACCTTCACACCTGTGTAAATGTGATGTGACAATAAACATGATTTGATTTGATTTAAAGGTCATACATGGTTCTTTAATTCTTTTTTTTTCAATACAGATATCAGATATATAAAATATAAAGGAACTCATTTAAGGTAAAGGTTACATACCAACTAATATACCAGCTTTCCTAGAAACATACGTTCAAGCCAAGAGCCATTTAGGAACCTTTATTAGGAAAATGCATTAATTCCTAAATTGCAGCAACAAAAGGGACTGTTCAAGATGTACATAGCAAAATAGAAATATACAAACAAAAAACCAAGCGAAAAAACCCTTGGGTTCCACAAGCAGCATTACAGCATTGGAAATGGGGTGGGGGTGTGATGGGTGTTTAATGACAGAAAACAGGCTTTTAACCCACTTTTTGAGGGTGACAAGATAAAGGTTACCTTTAGATGAGGTGGTGCTTCTCCAGCATTATGGGTTGCTAAGAAACAGGATTTTGATTGGCCTTACATCGCACATGCTCTGCCTCACGTGTGCTCTGTCATTGCCCAGTCACCCACACAGTCCCACGGTCCAGTTCACACAGCTGGGGGCTACAGGAGAGGGGAACTGGGCCAAGTCCCACTGACTCAGAGCAGGGAGTGAGGAGCAGGCCAAGTCAATGCTGCAAGAATAGCTCAGAAAGAGTGAGACAGGGGGGGGAGGAATATTCATTCATTTGCTTACGTCCACTCTCCAACACCCCCAGCCCTATATCCTGCCCTGCTGCTGAAATACATCTTAATACCTTTAGCTTCTCCTCCTGCCCCATGCTGAGTAGAAGGGGACAGGCAGTTCAAAGCTCCTGCCTGTGCTTTGCAAAACTGAAAAACATCTGGTGCTTGGCACATTGGAAAAATGCAGCCTTATGGACCAGAAATTGACTATACTAAAGGAATGCTTCAGCTTCAGATGATTTCAACACGTTTCCTTGTACTTAGTGCTTAGTAGCTTCTGCAACTGCCCATTGGCCTCTGTTATAAATGTGTTTCAGGACTGTTCTGTTGTTTTACTATGTAGTAGAATTGCATTGAACTTTTTATACATGGTAATTGACTTTATGATGCAGATGTGGCTTATAAGGATTAGGCTGAATTATGTATTTAGATCAATGGCCTTTTTTCACTGTTATAAAACCTGAATACATGACATTAAATGAAATGTGAGTGCATGTGCTTGTTTGTTTTTCTAGTCACAAGCATTTTACAGCCACAAGTGATTGGACGTGATGTTCTATTTTCAATGCTTCCTCTGGTTTCCTGGCAGTACTTCATATTTACTCATTAGATGCCCTGTTTGGCTGATTTCAAAGCTCTTTCCCACACTCTGTTCACAGCAGGCACACACGTTTATCACTGATTGCCATCACTTGACAAGCAACAGCCACAACGTACTATGGCTGTCTACATGACGTTTAGGTCCGTTGACCTGAGAACAGCCTCACTGACCTCTTTGTGGGCTCCTGGACCTTCAGCCCAAAACTGAGGTCAGCTCATCAGCTCTTAATCCAAAAACCCTAAAATTGGTGCTGCCACCACAAGCTTAAACAGCTGTAATCCCAGCTGCTAAACTGTTACTTTAAATGGATGAGATTGGGCAGGAATCAGATTATTTAGTCCTAATCCAGACTGCTTTCATTTGCCGGGCTTGGATGGTCACTGTGGGACCGTATAAAAAGGGGGCAGTGTTAGTTTTTGGAGATAAGTGAGGCATCTAGGCAAACTGGGAGAGTTCCCACCCCCTTTTTTTCTTCTCCCACCCCCTGTTCTTAGTCGTTTCCTCCAGCTCTCACATGCTCACACAGCGCAGTCATTCAGAGGCACAGCGTGGAGGCTGCTCTCACACACACACATGCACACACACACTCTGAAGAGCAACATGCCCAGGTTACCTCATCACTGCCTGATAGCTGTGTGCCTGGCAGGATCTCTGCTACTGCTTCCACTCTGCTGCGGTGAGTGCTAAAGAAAAAGCGAGAGTAACTGTGTTTGCATGTGTGCATGTGAGAGAGACAGAGAGAGAGAGAGAGAGAGAGAGAGAGAGAGAGAGAGAGAGAGAGAGAGAGATGTTTTAGAAAAGAGATAAAAGGCAAATCATCGCTGCCCAAAAAAACATGTATCTCCAAAATAGTAACTATACAGGAAAAAGCAAAATGTTCCTTAAATTGTAATGCAGCGTTGGTCCATTGGTCCATTGGTGGCATCATGAAAATTTATGAAAAGTATAAAGGACAGCTGCAGAAATCTAATGATGAAGAAAAATCAAACCAAAACCAAAAATGGAGGTACATGTTTTTTTTGTTTTATGCATACTGGGTCTGAACATAGAAGACTAAGATAGAAAAATGGGGGGTATTAAAATAGTTGTAATTCCTACATCGTTCACCCAATTTAGATTGAAATACCTTCAAATTAAAGCTGAAAACCTGCACTTTGAGCATATTTAATATTATGTCCAAATATTTATGGCTCTATTTGTATTGTTACTTTTATGACAAAACCTCATATGTGATAAATGATAACTTTATAGGAGAAGGACGAACTTTAATATCATTCGGAAGTCATTCTGGAGAGTTTCTTTTGGTCCATTCATTACGAAACATTCACACAATGTGAAAGTTCAGTGGCATTTTTAAATAATGTAAATTAATAAAAAAAACAGCAACGACATGCATGTTTAAGTCTCTGAACCTGACTGAATAAGCATGGGAAAGGTGCATACTGGAAAACAAGTGCATGTTTGGTGTGCATTTGGAAATGAACAGTGTGTTTGATGAGGGTTGAGCACTAGGGCAAATGCTTGCACATGTTTCTGTTTAGGACTGAGCTGTCTAGCAAGTCTGAGCAGTAACTATGACACACATTTGCGAAGGTAGGCGTGGATCTCCTGACATGAGAGCATGTGGTTTAGAGTTTTTCTGCTTATTCAGCAAGACCACACAGACTATGGACACACATCTTGTCAAACAAAGGCCTGAAATGATTCAGATCAGAGAGGCCGTTAAGGACAGTGAGGAAAGAAAAGTTTCAGTTGTGTATGTTATGTGACCTCAGAGCAACCTGCAGACACAATATTAGAAGTGCAAGAGCATACTGTCTGAGCACAACAAGCCCAGAGGAAAGTGAAGAAGAAAGGACAAAATTCCACAGTTAGAATTTATTTCCCTTAGATCACCCGTGTCTTTTCGAGTGGCTTCTACTTCAGAAAAACGGCACAAAAAGCAGAAATTTGCTGCTTGCGAGTGTCAACTAAACTGAGACGATGAGTAATTCTTTCCTGTCATTCAGAGCAGATTAAGCTCTTGCCTGTAGTCTCAGGATGCCCTGTAGATGTGGAAATACCCCGGGAAAAAGACAAAAACCTCAGTGTATCCTGACATAGCCGTAAGAAAGCATGCTATCTGATTGTGCAATGCGGTTTCTCTAGCATGAGAGACGACCCTGAGGGTTAGAACAATCACAGGGGCGACATAATCCTGGTGCACAGCTGTTTTCTGTAGAATGTGTCAGCCACGGCTCTGCTAGGTCTCTCTTTATTCTCATTCATAGGATGCTGGCCCCAGAAAAAAGAAAGATGAGTTGGTTCTTGTGTGTTTCAGAAGAGATTGTCACTTGCTGTGGGGGAGCAGCAAGTCAGCGGGAGAAATGGGGCCTTAAATGACCCATGCAGAGAATGCAAAAGGCTAATGGTGCTCTTAAGCTGTGCTGCTGAGATGTCACATCATTTAAAGGAATAGTTTGGTGGAAAGTCTAATTGACACAGTTTTCTCCTCTCCCCGAATGTAGTCAATCAGCTGAGACATGTTTGATGCCAGAAGTTTGCTTTATTAATTTCATCACAGGAGCTAGAAGGTTGATATTAACAAGTAATAGAGACTTGTAATTAGCACTGTGCAAACTACATGACTGAATTCTCACAAGTGACCCACACCATGTCAACTTACAGGGCCCATTTCATGCAAAACTCCCTCACTTTTTTACATCAAAGACTTTGATGCAGTATCTGAACAATGCTGAAGTTTGAAAACATTTCATTCACTCCACAGTTCATATAGTCTATCTATAAAAACTAAGCAGCAAAACAGCCTGTTTTTAATTCACTGTTTTTGTGAGGTCACAAAAAACAACATATTTACACAAATCTACCTGTTAGGCCTACAGCAGTTCAGCTCCACCCATTCGTGCTATGCTGAAGTTACAAGAAGTATTTTAGCCTGGTCTGCTTTTTGCAGGAGGAACAGTATATGTCTTAAATGCACAGAAACAAGAACAGCCTTTTTAATTCGAAAGGATAAAGAGAGGTTGGAAAATGGTCATGTAAAAATGAATTCTGAGTGTTTTGGGTACATAATAATAGCAATAAAGTGGACCTCAGGGCAAAAAGACAAAATGCAGGAAAAATGTAGAATATGGGCCCTTTATTTAATCTCAAACCGACTTGCCCATGTGGTTTTATGATACTGTGTGATATTCTGTTGTCTATAGCATCTAAAACCACATAAGCAAGTCTAATTGAGATTACTTAACAACTCAACACAGTTTGAGGCTAGTATGTGATGATTTAGGCAGGCAGAATCATTCCTTTAATTCAGACTTGGATGAGGAGAGAACTTTGCAGTGTTCTTTTACACTTTCACCAGGTCTTTATTCCTTTAAAAACAGAGTAACGTGTGAGAGGTTTATGGTTTTTAGTTCTAATGCAGGGAGAATTAACACAGAGCTGAGTTTGTAGGACAGTAAAGTTGGCAGTCAGCAGTCAGAGAAATGCTCTCAGCTGTGTGACAGATTGCTCCAGCAGTCGGGTGATTTGGTAAATTAATCACCAAAAACCAAAGTAAGCTCAGAATTAATAAAGGAAATGTCACGCGATAAATACCATCAATGTTTCCTTTTTGCCTCTGGAGAGCATACCTCCTGCAAGAATCCCATGAAAATATTGGACGCTCCTGCCAAAAATCATTATTTGAAAGGTGTTATCTCACATTGATGCTATGCTCATAGCTTCTCGTGCTTGTTTGACATGCGTAGGAGATAACTGGGTGAATAACTGAGTGAAGTCTGGGGGTTTCTGGTGTCTAATTACATGAGCTCTGCAGTTGGCCAGAGCTTTGCTTTAAGTTGGCCAGAGCTTTGCTTTAATTCCATTTTGAAGGACAAGAACATGTATTTGTGGGAAACTGTTTGAAAGATACTATGCATACACTCTCCACTGAGCTCAAAGGTGCTTGTCAGAGCTCAAATCCTTTGGTCTTTTTGCAGATTTCACCGTGTTCCGGCTTTGCTGCCTCCAGGTTGATTTAACTGCACTGCATGAGGTCAAACATCCTACGGGCTAAACAATATGTGGAACCTTTAGACCTTGGAATTTTTCTCATATCCTCACAAATCTTGATGGCAATGACACACAGAGAATGAGCGAGAGAGATGCAAACCATAAAAACAGACGTGCAGGGGGTAGTAGTGTCACCAGCGATCAGACATAACTGTGACTGAAGCACAGGACAAAGCAATGCTCCATTAACTCTCCCTGTTGGGGAGAACATGAAAGGAGCAGTCATTCCATAGGGGCATGTGAATACCTTCACCCTAAAAATCCCTGCACCATGCTAACCTTGCCCAGAGTAAAATATAGCCCTGTTATTGCTACTACTCTATTTGGCAAATCCATGTGATTAAGGAAGTACTGCGCTGTTTAGATAGGCTAAACTTTGTGGAGCTCCTTAGTGAGCTGCTTGACAGAGGGCATGAAGGTTAGAGCCAGAGACCCGGTTCCCAGTGCTGCCTCATACAGTGACACCGAAATTAATAGCAGGCGGCTGCCTTCCCCTGGAGCATGTAGTCTTAAACAAACAGCACATACTCGTAGACTGGCCAGACACCATTTCACAGCTAATGCCATTTAGCTCCATGCTGTTTATGATCCCTCTTGTTTATCGGTGTTGATACAGGTAATAGCTCTCAGTCCCGTTTCTCCCACGGCTCTCAGGCTAGCAGAGAAGATAGTGGCTAGTTCATACTGAGGGCTTCCTGAGCATGCTTTGAGGACAAACTTTAATCACTGCGAAATCTAATTCAATTAGTGTTTAACGAGTCTTATTGGACGTGAGGGCAACCCACTGTACTAAACAACCTCTGGCCTGTTCAAACAAGAACAGCAAATTAGCATTTATTGAGGACTTCCTATTCAGGCCTTGTTCCTTCACTGGTGTTTTTTTAATGAGAAGGCTAGGTCAGGCTGAGAAGAAGCCCTAATGGTCTTGGCAACCTGCCATCAAGGAAAACGTATGGGCCATTTCTTAACTTCAATGGTGGAGGACACATAAGTCCCAGAGAAATGCAAAGTCCATCTGTTGTAAGGCCAAGTCTGGTAAAGCGTGCATACCATGATCTTTACTGCAGCCCATACTGCTGGATATATGACCCGTCTTAAGTGCAAAAGGGCTGGTTGATCACTGTATTTTTGTAAATTCCAGCAAGAACCCAAAGTTGAACTCAGGTTTCAGTGAATGACTGAAGTAGAAAGAACTCCCTGGAATCTCAGCTTTGTGGAGCTTCAATTAGCTAAATATATATACATCCATGTCAATGAATGGAACTTGAGAGAAACAGCTTTAACAGTCTGAACATATACAATGTTTCACCATATCACTGCTGCCAAATTAGAACACAATATCCCTTCAGACAAAGGCAAAACATCAGAGATATACAGAAAAAGGAATCCAGATTTGGCTTAGACACTTGAGAAGAGCCTCTTGGGTTGGTACCCAGGTGTGGGAATCACTAACATTCCCTCAAGAACAGCACTTGAAATTGATTGCCTTGGACCAAGCAGACAGCTGAATAAATGAACTAAATCTAAAATACAAGCCCGAATGATTATTTATTTAGCTCCTTCCTGTGATGCGGAAGCTGTTTCTCAGGGTTCACTTCCATCTTCTTCACCCCAGAGCCCACACCAGAGAGAAGGCTCACCACTGCTCAAGTGCTGTAAATCCCAAGACTACAAGCTACCCATGAAGACTTCTATAGAATGTAGGAATCACTAAGGGTCATTTGCTTTTTATAGCCATGTATGCACTGATCTCCCATGTCCTGTTTCTTGTCCAATGACAAGTTGACCTGCTTGCTTTGGTCTCAAGTGGCCCATTAGTATAGCAATGTAAAGCCCTGTGAGAATTTTCATCCTCATTAAATTAAGAAAGGATTGCTTCCGTTCTTAGTAACTTCCCACAATGGATAAAAGCTACTTTGAATTATCTGTAGAAGGTAGACAAATACTTTCCAAAAACTTTTCTCTCAGTACATTTTAATTGTAATGCCTTCTATGATCAAAGATGATCCAATACTTTACCTGCTGGATCCAAGAACTCATTCTTAAAAGCTATATTAGCGATGGCTACTGTTTGAACATGGCTATGATTAATCAGATATATGATCATTTTAGCTTGTAATGAGGGCTGACAAACATCCTGACAGCTGCCATTGTTGACTCTTTATTCATTCAACAGAATGGCCTCAAGTAATTCCATAGCACCACATATATCATGTCAACATAAGCTGAATGGATATAGCTGTCTCACATAGCTGACAAATGGCAGTGGTATGAATGTGGATACAAAGATCTCAAGTTACTGATTATTCTTCTTTTTGACTACAATGTCCTTCATTGTTGAGTGACACAGCTGAAATGTGTTAACATAAAAAGATGACCAGTTCAAAGTAGGATCACTTTAGATGAACTAAAGATTAAATATAATAGCTAATAAGTCAAGATCCTCTGATTCATCTGGCCTTAGTGTGTTTATATCAAAACAACCACTGTTCAAGTGAATATGTGTAAGAATAACAAAGACTGTGAAATATCTGGATCTGGAATAGTCGAAAAAATGTAACAACCTAAAGCTGGAACAGAAAGGCAATCAAGGGTTACATTAGCATGAAATGATATATATAATTATAGCAGAAATATTGCTTCTCTCGTTCATTTCTCAGCATATGAACAGGTTTTGCAAATCCCACCTAAATCTCATCTCTTTTATCTCCACAGTTGGCCAAGATGCCTTTCCACAATATGACTATGACTCCACTACATCACCAGAATATGACTACAACGCCACATTTGAGTACTCTTTCTACAGTATGTATTCCTATGTTTAATAATCTTTCAGAAACACTTTAGTTGAACCCTGCTACATAACCTTGACAAATCAAATAAGTCCTGACAAATTTTGTTCAGTGATATAATTTTTGCTGGGTAACATTTGACTGAAGGGCAGCATTCATAGCTCTTTCATGACAAATGACAAACATTTCACTGCTGATGAAACAAAACCTTGTATCTTCAAAATGGTAACGTTACAGGAGAAGGAAAAGCATACTTTACTTTTAATGTAGGTCAATGGAACCAGACATTTTTCCAAGTAATTTTGGGCTGTTTCTTTTGGTCCATTCATCATGAAATTTACACACAACATAAAACTGAAAAATGACAAAAATGGAGATACGTGGTTTTGTTTCCGACAGCAGCGATATACAGACACCATACTGAAGTTAGTGTCACCATGGTAATCATGGTGTATATTATTTAGAACAGTTTATAGAATGATTCATTTTTTCACACCGCACTTGTTGCACTAGGCAATGGGAGCAGTGAAGACTTGGAGAAGTTTCTTGAAGGAAAAGATGTAGATGATGAGGAGACTGAGACGGACATAAGCCTAACAAATCCAGATTCTACTACGTCCACTACCTTGACCAAAGCTCAGGTACGGAATCAGTCCACCAATCTCTCTCTCCTTTCTGTTAGAATAGAATGTGTTAAACGTAGTGTTTCATTCTGAGAAAGTTGTGAAAACTATGTAAAAGTGTGAATGATCTGCATCTCCCATTGAGCCATAATGACCTTGTGTTCTCAAGAACAGGACATCAGGAGGGGGTTCTTTAAGAATTGTGTGGGTGGACAAAACTTTGCTGAAACAGACAAAATCTTTGAAGACACGTACAGCAGGCCTGTATCATCTTCAACCTCTAACTTCAAAACTGAATTAAGTCCCAAATGAGCTGATTCATCTGGTTTGTGCTTGAAACTCACACTTAGTGTGTTTATGTCAAAACAGTCACAGTTCAAGTGAAAACATGTACAGAGTGTGGAGTAACAAAGGTTGTGAAATGTCTGGGGTTTTTGACACAGTATTGTTTTTCCATAACAGCAAAATACAATAAAATTTACAGTACCGTGCAAAAGTCAGCCATGAAAATTATTTAAAACTATTTATCTTGGCAGAAAGTGCTTTTGTCAATAACACTACGTAACACAAGAACAAACATAAATAAACATAAATAAAGTAGAACCGCTTGTTTTTTTTTTTTTCAAAAGTGATTCATATCTTGGTTAGAATAATACAGTTGGAAGAACACAAGTTTGTTCCCTGATTTCTTGCTGCATTCCAGCCATTGTATGTTATTGTTATTGTTACCGACAATAAGCACACCTGGTTTAATGAAGGGCTGATTAGCCAAATTAACTGTAAATTGTCACCGTCCAAAAACAAACAAATGTGTACCTCCATTTGTTTTTTTGTTTTTTTTCTACATCATTTCAACACAGCAGCGGTCCTTTATATTGTGTAAAACTTAAATGATGAATAGACCAATGGAAATGCAACAAAATGACATTTTTGAGCATTTGGAGACTTTTCTGGTGGACATTCGTAATTGCATGCAATGTGCAGTAGAACATCTTGTAACATTGGTGGTGCTTCGGCCCCCTCAAGTGGATGAATCTAGTGTCTGCGAACACGTTGAAAGAGTATTCAAAGAGAACTCAGTCAAACCTTGGTAAAGGACGTGTCTTCCAAGAATGTGCATGAATTATCTACTGTTGTCATCTTACCTTTATTAGTATGTTGATTTTGCATTTGAGACCTAAACATCGAGCTAGATCTTCTTTTTGAGTCTGTGTGTGTGATGTTAACAAGTAAAGTTGTATGACGTGGTCCGAAAAACTCCAGCAAAATCCGACCCAACACCTTTGACTTTTAAATTGATAAAATATTATTTCAGGCTTTAAAGGGTGACTCGCAGCAATGAACAACAGAACAACATATTTGACTTACAAATTGCAGCTTTAAAAATGTTTTCACCTTCTCCTGTAAAGTTACTTTTTTTGCAGATACATATTTTTTTGGGCAATGATAAAATAATGGGCTTCCTTGAGGACAGGTCTGGAAATAAATGCTTTCTGCCCAGACAAATAGCTTTACATATAATTTTTTCAGATGTCTAAGACTTTGGCACAATCCAAACCTGTAGAGAACAGTAAAATACCTCCTGATCACATTCTAATTATAGTAATAAAAGGCGCCCTCTTTTAGGATTTCAACATAGAGTCTTGCTATTATTGTGGATTAGACATGGTGTGGGAGTATCTGCTGGCACTGTGGATGCCTGCTGATTCAGTACTGAAAGTAAATGTAAACACATGGGTGTTATTAGTGTAGGACTACAGATCTATCCGAAAGGCCCATCTGCTTTACATCCCACATTTAGACTTGGAAACTAAACAAATGCCTCTGGATTAAGATATGCTACAGATAGTGGGGGGAAAAAGATCCCTACAGGAAAACAGCTCGAAACTCCTGAGGGTAAATTCCCAGCACTCAGTTACAATGCAGGTAGCACGGTGTGAGGGTCACGCTGATATTACATTACACGAATACTGCACGTGTCTTCATCCAACTCATACAAACTAAATGTAAGTCCATTCCATAAAGTTACTGTTAAAACAACAGATCAATGCAACAAGATCAATGCAACAAGTGCTTGCTCTCGCCTGTTTGAGTCTCTCTGTGTTAGACACAGTATGTAGAGAGGTCTAGGAGACTTACTCATAACAGCTCCTGAGTCAGAAAAACTCACGTAATCCCTCTCTCTAAAGCAGACAGTCCCTCTCCACACCTTGACACAGTTTCAAAAAAGACTTTGCACCTTTTATTTTCACATCTTTGCCTCAGGGTATATAGATGTGATGGTACTCATTGTGCCTTCTGTACTGAACAGCTGCAGAACAGTACCTGTCACTATCAGCATCAAAATGAGTATATATAACACAAAGGTTATGTTATGTGACAATACCACACCCTTGCTTTAGCTGGTGCGTGTTACGCTGGTTCAGCTTGACTTAGACTGAACATGTAACTTGAGATACAGCACTGCACATCTCTCTTTTAACACATTCTTTCCAGAGGCCTTCACTGACATCAGCATTTCAATGGTGTAAAAAATACATTTTAATCTATATTTAATTCCCTTGGATTATCATTAATGTTTGCAGCAATGCTCACAAAGGTATCTGGAATTAACTTTTGTGGAATAGAAACGCAATGAAATTAGCAAAAAGCCACTTCACATTCATTTTTTGTTTTCTTTTGTGTGAAAATGCTGTCTGATTATCACTTAAGACTTCTGTAAGCTCTTTAAATGGTCCAGCTCATTGAACACTGCTTGCTTTTTCCTAAATACAAGAGTTTGATGTAGTGCATAAACACTGTTAATGTTTCAATACCTGCGGTTCACTCTCCATATATGGAAAATGCAAAACAGCCTGGTTTTAACTGTGTTTTGTGATGCCACAAAAACCAACATATTTGCAAATATCCGTCTATTTATAAAACCACATACAGTGGTTTAACTTGCCCATTTATGATCAAGTTCTAAGGAGTACAGTAATAAAAACAGTCTGTTTAATTCTAAGGAATAAAGAGAGGTCGGAAGTGGTCTTGGAAAAAATAGATTGTGACTGTTCTGATACATAAAACCTAAAAACGCCTCAAGGAACCTCGAGGAAATGAATCAAATACAAGGAAAATGTAGAATATGAGTCCTTTAAAATGTATAGTATTAGTTTCAAATAAAAATTATACAATTTACCCTTGACCCAGACATATCTGATGTCCAGAGCATGCTTTTGGGCCAAAACAATGGACAGAATTACATGAAAATGTATCCAAGTCTGTTAGAGGAGGAACTTTCAGCATTTACAGTGTGTGTCTATCATTCTGTGTCTCAGTAACTCACTGGTTTTTGTTTTGTTGGTAGTGTAGCATCTATTGATACAACTGCTCTTCTCTGATCATTGCAGGCCTCTAGAACAGTGTATCCCAGCTTACTGCTCACGGTGGTCCTGACTGCTCATCTGATACTGCAGTTTCTATAGTCCACACAGCACCCATCACAGGACACTCTCACACACATACACATGAGGTGAGTGCAGGCTCTTCTCATTATTGAAACCTAAACTTTATATTTTTGTATTATATACATTTTTGAACTCGAGACTTGGAAAATACTGTATGTACTATATGTTGCATCCTGCTGCAGTGAGCGACTGTACTAGAAAATATGCATGTAATTCTATTTGATGCCAACAGAGGGCGTTCAAAGCCCAGGTAAAAAAAGAATATTGTTGATCTCCAAATTTAAATGTTCCAGATTTGTAGAATGTTTAGTCAGTACACAGTATAAATGTATGTACAGTATCAAAAGATACTCAAAAGAAGATAAACTAATGAGTAGATAAATATGAATATATAAGTAGTGAAAATATAAAAACATAAATTGGACAATTATTACACTTGCTGTTAAGACAAAATAACAGTGACATTATATACTGCTGTAATGTTTAGGTATATGATTTTGGTATATTCAGAGCTTGCCTGAAGTGTATCATAATTACAAGTTACTTAAAGGGGGGGACAAATTGTTTGATTGTTTTTGCACCATCAGTTCATGTTAGATAGATCACAGACCCTTTTAAGAAGTTATTAACTGCAGGGTCCCTTTTATTTGAAAATGAAATACATCCCCACTAGAAAAAAACAGTATGGAACAGCATAACTGTTCATCAGTAAAGCAAACCAGCATATGTTGTATTTTGACCAGCACCAAACCTGCATAAACCAGTTTAGACCAACACTAAACCAGCATAAACCAGTTTAGACAAGAACTAGACCAGCATAAACCAGTTTAGACAAGAACTAGACCATCATAAACCAGTGTAAACCAGCTCAGGCTAGAAATAGACCATAATAAACCAGTTTAGAACAGCACTAAACCAGCATAAACCAGCAGTAGCCAGTTTAGACCAGACATAGACCAGCATAAACCAATTTAGACCAGCACTAAACCAGCATAAACCAGTTTAGACCAGCACTAAACCAGCATAAACCAGTTTAGACCAGCATAAACCAGCATAACCCAGAACTAGACCAGCATAAATCAATTTAGACCAGTACTACACTAGCATAAACCAGTTTAGACCAGTTTAGGCTAGAACTACACACACACACGCACACACACACACACACACACCTTCTAAACCGCTTATCCTTCTGGGTCATGGGGGGAGCTGGAGCCTATCCCAGTGGTCAATGGGCAGAAGGCAGGAAACCACCTGGACAGGTCACTAGTCCATCGCAGGGCAGACAGTCAGACATATACATTCACACACACACTCACTCACACTCACACCTAGGGGCAATTCAGCGTTTCCAATTGGCCTGACCGCAAGTCTTTGTACTGTGGGAGGAAACCCTCGCAGACACGGGGAGAACACACAAACTCCACACAGAAAGGACCCTGGTCGCACGACCGGGAATCGAACCCAGGCCCCACCGTGCCGCCCTAGGCTACAACTGGCATAATTCGAGGATAAACCAGTTTAGACCAGAGCTAGACCAGCATAAACCAGTTTAGAACAGAACTAGATCAGCATACACCAGTTTAGAACAGAACTAGACCAGCATAAACCAGTGGAAACTAGTTTAGACCAGAACTAGACCAGCAGAAACCAGTTTGGACCAGAACTAGACCAGCATAAACCAGCTTTTAATGTTTTTAAATTAGTGGTGGCTACAAGTGGTTAGCCTCTTATATAAGCGTTTGCACTGGCTGGTTACTCTGTGTCTGACTTCTTGTTAAACGTAGGTACAAACGTTTGTATATCTCTGCGGTAAATATGCTTGCATATGTCCACCTCCATCAAAATTGACTGACTGTGGAAACTGAAAGCATTGAAAGGAAAGGTGCTGGGGCACTATGGGAAATGTAGTGTCTATAGTAAATTGGTCCTGACGTGTAGTTCAGGCCAGCAATTCAGGGCTAAAAAGGGGAACTTTATAGCTCACGCATTGACTTTTTCAAGGGATTATTGTGGGTCCAGTAATGTCTCTGCTTCAGTATTGCACTTGGGAATAAAGAGCCAGTGAAAGTGCTGCTGAACTGCACATATCCACTGTAGAGCAGATGAGTGGTGGTGTCAAGTACTGAGTCCATTTTATCCCTCATCCTCCTGCTGATTGTTCCATCCTAAAGATGTTTATGAGCTGCTGCTGTTTTCTGACTGTGTGTCGTCTTATTTTCATAGGAGCCCAAGAGAAGACAGGTCAGGATGGACAGACAGCCAGAGATTTGGCAAAAGAGACTAGCAGGAAGACAGACACAGATGGACAGACAAACTCATACATGAATGCACACACGCCCACAAACCTCTCACTTCAAAGAAGCAGCTATGAGTATCTCCTACCTGCACCTCCACACAAGCACAGAGGATTCACATGGACTAGATGAATAGGATGGGCTACCTGAAAGAAAAATGAAGCTCAATCAAATGATAGATTCCCTTTGTTTAGCTTACTCCCTAAGAGTGTCTTACAAGCAGAGAAAGGAGGCAGAAAAAAGCCTCGGTGAGTCAGGTCAGGGAAAAAAACAAAGATATCAAGGTTTTATGAATGTAAAAATAATCATCAAGTGAAATGTTACATATGAATTATGTTTTGGTGCAATTTCAAAGGACTTTTATTACAATAAAATAATTAGTGTTACTGTAACGAGACGAGCAAAATGAGATACAATGCTGAAAGGAATGAAAGGACCTTCAATGTTAAAAGTGTGTATATCAGTGTCTGTGTATGTGTGTGTTTTACTGTCATGTTCTCATTTAAGACCACTGATCACACAGCAACAAGTCTTAAAAACCCCATCTGCTTCTCACAGGCCACCTCACATTATGAAAAAAAAACAAAACACAATAGAAATCTTGCTAGTGTTTCAAATGGAACATTATTCCTGTACACTTTATTGCCTTTGATACCAGTTAAAAGTTTTGCTTTACCCACAATGAAACAGCATGCATGTTCACCTTTAATAACGCACCCTATAAAACTCCCTCATGCCAGTTTTAGTGCTGAAGGAATCACATGTTCCTGTTTTGAGTAAACTGACTTCAATATTATTATTATTTTTTCTTTAAATGAACAGACCTTATGGCTGAATCTCAAACTCCCTATATAGTAGGTCATTAAACCTATGCAGTGCACTATAAATGGCTCTCTATTAGGTAATAGAAGCCACTATTTCATGACCTACATAGTGCACTACATAGGGTGTAGGGAGCCAGTTTAGATTCAGCCTATGAGTGTCAAAGCAGAAGCCATAGCTCCAGCAGAAGTCCTGCCACTCTTTAGATGCATTTTAGTATGGCAGAGGTTCACTGTTCAATGCATGACGTGCACACAGGCACTTTCCTTAGCCAATGCACTTCTTCCATTCAACACCACTTTCTCAGTGTTTCTGGGTGGATAACACTTTGCAGCACATCTTTATGTTTGAAATATTAAATGTTACATTCATTTTTTTCTTTCTTTTTAAAGTTTGTGAAAGGATCCCGTTTGAGGATGAATGGACATGTTTTTGTGAGCTAATGAAGCAATCTGTATGTCTTGTTAATAATTTTGAATAAATATTTTTTAATTACATTCGTACATTTGGCCACCTTAATGGTTCAGGATTGAGATGTTTTTTTTGGTCAGAGTTATTCACTGACCTTTGAATAAACAGATACAATGATATTTGAGATGTTTGTTTGACAGCTATTTATAGAAATGAATCTTAACCTGAAGTGTCCACATGGTTTCTGTTAATCCATTAAATATTTGATGTCAGAGAGTTATTGCTTAACAAAACATCACAACATATCAGAAGTCCTGCCATGAAACCATTAAGGAGAAGAAACCATATTAGTAAGATTAGAGACAGTAATGAAAGTTAATAGACAAAAATAGACAAAGGACAAAAACGAGGCCACAAGACACGTTAATGCCAGGAAAAAGACGTTCATATTCAGTGGGTACAGTGGGATCTGCCCTGGTGAGCAAAGAGACGATGAGACAACTTGCTGAATACATTATGACTATTTTCTGCCTTTGGACACTGAACAACACAACAAATAGGGGGAATCTTCATTTAGCACAAATGCAGATGATAAATCGGTTGCACACAGAAGATAAACTAGGTTACAGAAAACTAATGTCTCATTAATAACATTCTAGGTCTGTAATGTATGACCTTAATTATAAACAGAACATTTAGAAGACTATATTGATTGGTTGATATTTATGTCCTTGAAAGTTTGTGAACCCTTTAGAATTTTCTATATTTCTGCATAAATTGATCTAAAACTTCATCAGATTTTCACACAAGTCCTCACAGTAGATGAAAAGAACCAACGTAAACAAATGAGATAAAAATATTAGACTTGGTCATTTATTTACTGAGAAAAATGATCCAGTATTACATATCTGTGAGTGGCAAAAGTATGTGAACCTTTGCTTTCAGGATCTTGTGTGACCCCCTTGTGCAGCAAATGCAATATTTCCGGTAACTGTTGGTTAGTCCTGCACATAGGCTTGGTGGAATTTTAGCCCACTACTCTACCCAAAACAGCTTCAACTCTTATGTTGGTGGGTTTTCTCACGTGAACTGCTTGCTCCAGTAGCCTTCTGGCTTGTCCATGTGATCTTTAGCAAACTGCAGACACGCAGCAATGTTCTTTTTGGAGAGCATTGAAAACACCTGACTAATTTCAACTTCAAATTATCTGCTAATCCAAGGCATTCACACCAGATTTGGTTCTCTTTATTTACTACTAGGAAAATCTGATGAAGTTTTAGGTCAAATTTATGCAGATATAGAGAAATATAAATTCTGAAGGGTTCACAAACGTTCAAGCACCGCTGTATGTGGCTCTCAAAGCCAGTGATGTATATTAAAAGCATTTCCATAAATGAAAAATAGTCGTGTTCACATATACACTCATAAAAGACTAAAAGCCAGGCCGATTCACACAAGCAAAATTAAAGGGGCACAAAAACACAGGCTGTTTTCCTCTCTTTCCATTTCACAAACAAGCACTTATCCATTCAATCAAGTCAATGTGTGACAATCAAACAATTAAAAGGGGAGAAAATGTCGAGCATTATGCCACACATGTATCAGCACCTTTCACTTGCAGCCAGTGAAATATTCATGATTCTCACCTCCTGTATGTTTCAGGAGATGGGCCCGAGTCAATAGGTCACTGTGGGAAGACAGAAACGGAGTGTCGGTGTGCATGGACAAACAAAACAAAGCGTAAGGTCACAAACGGTGCAGCTGAGTGCGTGCTGATGGCGGGGGGTGATATCTGCTCGTCTGTCTGAAACGGATGTTTACTGGCCCACTTTAGCCAGGCCACCATCTTTTAGCTCAAATAAAGCTTCCAGATGAGCCGTGATAAGAAAAGTGCCAGTTAGGCCTTTTTTATGCTGGAAACTATTTATTTAACTTAATAAAGTCTAACGCGTACAAAGAGAACACTTAGATGTAGGTTGTTTCTTGAGTTTTCAACTTCAGTTTGTAGACACCTTCTCAGTGAACGTTTCGTCTGAAATAGAGGATAATAATGGGGAATTTGTTCCCATTCGCTGTGGTAACAGCCTCTGCTCTCTTGGCTTTGCACTGTTGGAACATTCCTGTGACGATTTAATTGCGTTCAGTCATACGAGCATTAGTGAAATCAGAAATGAATGTCGGATAATTAGCTCTGGATCACAAACTACACTCCAACTCATCCCAGACTTATTAAATGGCGCTCTATCACTAGATAATGTAATTCCATTGCTCCACAGCCCAAAGCCGTGGGCTTTGCACCCCTCTAGCTGAATTCACTAATTAGAAGGGGTGTCTGGATACTTTTGGACATATATGTGTAGACCCTCAGGACTTTACACCATTAAACATTTCAGGAAGTATGTGGACCTGAGAATTAAAAAGCCCTTTTAAAATCTGGCCTGGGATGACTTCATCTCATAGCAAGTTAACTAGCTGAACTTTGCGAAGCACTAGCCACCTTGTTTTTCACAGTCTGTCTGAATAGGCTATTTTTGCTGTCAGTCCTACTCTGTTCCAATGTTTCATTTGATTCTCACAGTGGTCTCTTAAGACTATGGGTTGACATTTCAGTCAGCATAATGGATCATCCACAGCTGTAGTCATGCACCATTGATGATTCACTTTAAACTAATTCCCTTTATTCATCAGCGTAATAATGAAACTCTGCTACTTTTCAGATTCACAGTGTGATCAAACAGAACCAGAGAAAGAGGAAGAGAGTTTATCCTCTTTTGTCCTTTGCTGTGCTTTCAGGTTCCTTTTATTTGTCTAGTTCCAAACACAAAAAGGAAGCAAAAGCCTCAAGTCGCAACAGGGTGCTTTCTAATCAAGACTCATCAGCACAAGAGAACAGGCAGCAGAATCTGAGTGTTTCTGAGCAGGTAAGATCACAGTTATCACTCGTATCCTGTTATCGTATCCTCATCTGTGTCCTAGTCATGTCTTCACAGCTGATTTTGCTCAAACAGTAATTAACACAACTGAGCGTCTTTAATTATAAGTAACCCGAGCACACATGCTTACCTTTGTTTAACGTTGTCACTGAATTTTAAGTTCATGTTAACAAGTATTGAAAATACTGTATGGAATAAAGAATTATTTACACTTCCAACATCTGCGTGTGTACTCAAACATCTAGAAAGTTAGCTGAATATGGTACTATTATATCTCAAGGATAGGTATCACAGTTATGTAGGGTAATTGGTGTCACATTACACACATACACTTTTTAAAAGTTTGGAATTGCTTGTCATAGTTATGTTTTTTGTCAATTTCTTTACTAATAACATATGCAGTGTACAAATATTTTAAAAATAGCTACATTCCCCTTTTAAAAATATTTAAAATGTTAGTTGTGGAACAACAAGAACTTATCATCAATAATATTACTAATACTATACTACATTATGTCACAATACTATATGAATTACATTTTTACAATGAATGAATGAATGAATGCTGCCAGTATACACAGGAAAGTGGCATCATCTGAAAAAGCACTTTTCATTCTTATTAACGGTTATAAAGTTCAGTCTATAATGATGTCATTTCACACCAAGTACATTTTTACAGATTTAATGCATTGAAACCTTCATTTCAAGTCTGACGCACCTTTTTTAGCACTGAAAATGCAAGTAGTAGTAGTACTTTCAGCCAGTGCAACTCTAAACTGACACTGGTTGATGTCCGATTCTGCTAAAAAAAAAATCAATAAACAGTACACGTAGATCGACTGGCTCACACAAGATCTGTATACCTGGTGGTCCACTTTTGCTTCAGATCCACAGGTGTTTTTGTCCATCCTTCCACTGTGAAAAGACAACTCAGTGCTGTGAATCTGAAAGGATGTGTAGCTGTCAAGAAGACCTTACTGAGAAAAGGAAGCAGACAAAAAAGAAAAAAGTTGCATATCAAACAAAACTGCTTGTGTTCTCAGAACAATGAACCGGCCACCCCAGAGTCTAGAACTCAACATCCCTGAATTGAATTACAGCAGTCCCCGTATGAACCTTGGTGTATTTTTTAAACCTTTGCTTGCTCCCGGCAGGCAGTCAGCAATCACTCATTTTTACAGCCGCTGTGGGTTAAGCGAAGAACTTCTGAAACTCATGTTGCAGTGTGCCTGGAGCTTGGGCAGATGCTCACTGACACAGTGGAAGTGAACTTTGTGTGTAACCATATTTTATGTGTTTGGCTTTCCATCTTCGTTTGAGAAATAGATCAACTATGAATATTTGGCTTCACTCAATGGAGAACTCATTGGATATGGTCTCTCTGGAAGACACTTGCAGATTCTACTGCAAAGAATAGTTTGTTTTTAATTGAATACAGGTGTCTGTTTTCTCCCTGTTTACCCACCAATTCCCAGTACTCTTCTTTGCAATGAATGCTAAAGCATGTGCTGACCTTTCACACACCCTCATACTATTACACTATAAACAGCGGTTTTGGCTTGAGACAATTTTGGGTCTTTTGCATAGCTCTCCTGCTGTGCAAAGAAACCTCACAGCAGTGAACGGTGAATGGACAACCAACCTCGCTCACAACAAACTTGCAAGCATCTATTTTTGTTCTTCCTGCATGATGACATCCTATTGTAGTTTATTGAGAAAACACTAGTCATGTCTCCAGCAGCTCTGCCTGGTGCACTATGGTGCTTCAGGAAGCTGAAACACTGGGGTTATCCTTTTCTCCAAGACCATTATTGTATTTTGTGCTTCATAATATGCTTTATGTTTTCAATGGGAGACAGATCTGGAGTGCTGGCAGGTCAGTCTAGCTATAGTCATGCACTAGCGCTTGTCACGTTGAAACTATCATGGAAGTCCCTGAAAAAGTCCCCCAAGTTACACATGCCATCAGCACTAATCCCTCCACCACCCCACCATGACAGACCCTGGCTTTACACATTTACACTGGTAACAATCTGAAAGGCCCAGAGAGCACAACATCTATTGTTATCCTTGCAGTCACTCACTGGGCAATCACCAAAAAATGTTTAAAACCTAAATCAGTTTCAGTATTAGGGTATATTTACTAAAAAA